TTAAGAGTTGGTCAGGAATAACTGTAGCACTCACACATGATGGATAAAACTGTAAAAGGGTACAGAGACGTTGGAAAACTGCCAGTTTCTTAAAAGGTTAAGCATACACTTATCACATACCACCCAGACATTCCAAAATAAAAGACAGGAAATCATGTGTCTACTCAACACATGTCCGTATAAACATATGTTCATAGCAGCCTCATTCATAATAACCCCAAACTAGAAAATAGAAACAAAACAAATGCGAATCGACTACATATACAGTAGAAATAGTTCACAACTTAGAATGTATTCAATTTAGGATGAACTGCACTAATGATCATACATTGATGTTTTCTTTTTATATATCTTGTCATTAGTAAGTAGCCCTGGAGACGCTATGGGTTAGGCATCAGGCTACTAATCATAAGGTTGTTGGTTCAAACCCACCAACCATTCCACAGAAGAAAGATGAGGCTGGCTGCTCCAATAATAATTTCAGGTCCCAAAAACTCTATATAGAGTCCCTGTGAGTCAGAATTAACTTTCAAACAGTGGGGCTTTTGCTTTGTTTTATCATTAGTAATGTGTATGGCATACAGTGTTAGGAAGCATAGCAAAGTTAGACAGCATCTGTTGATGCTATATTCTCATTTGTTCACTCAAAGATGTTCAAAGGCCATCAAGGGAGTCTAAGTGTTGATTTCTTACTATGATGAAACCCCATGAGAAGTAGGGACTACCTGTATATGAATACAACAGAATACTACACAGCCATGAAAAGTAACAAACTACTGAGATTTTCAGAAACTTGGATAAAACTCCAAATGTTCAGTTACAGAAATCAGACACAAAAGTGTGCAAAATGTATGACTGTTGTTGTTAAGTGCTGTGGAGTCAGTTCAAACCCTGTACAGGATTTCTGAGGAGCAACTGGTAGGTTTGAACCTCCAACCTTACGGTTAGCAACCCAGTGTTTATCCAACACCAAAACTCCAATGAATTATTAGTTTACATAAAATTTTAGAAATTGCCAATGAATCTATAGTGACAAAGTTAATCTGTGGTTGACAAAGGCCAGAGGTGAAGGGAAGGACAGATTGCAAAGGTCTAGTTGGAAAAATTTTTGTATCTTAATTGAGGAGGTGGGTTGCTTAGTGCATATATCTATCAAAACTCTTAGCCTGTATGTTTTATATGTAAATTATACTTCAATAAAGCTGATTTTTTAAAATTATCCCCATTTGAAAGTCTGAACACTGAAATATATGTCACACCCTTCAAGAAGTTCATTAGGACTCCCAAACCAATATAAAGGAGTGGTGCTGTAGGATCAGCACTGGATTGCAAACCACAAGGTCTGCAATTCAAACCCACCAGCTGATCCTTAGACAACCTATGTAGGGTCGCTATGTCAGTTTGTCATGCTATGGTGGCTTAAGTTTAGTTGTGATTCTGGAAGCTATGCCACTGGTATTTTAAATACCAACAGGGTCACTCCTGGTGGACAGGTTTTAGCTGACCTTCCAGACTTGGAAGAGACAGACTACTTACTTCCAAATACTTAAGTCACTGAAAACCTTATGAATAGTAGTGGAACACTGTCAGCACCAGAATATTGAGTATTGAAACATGATGAAGAATACCAAAAAAGTCAGCTATAATACCAGAAGATAATAAGCCCCTTAAAATTGTAATAAGGCACTCAAAATACGACTGGGGAAGAACTGCCTCCTCAAATTAGAGTTGACCGTGATGACACAAATGGAGTAAAGTTTTCTGGACTTTCATTTGTTGATGGGGGACAACTCAAAATGAAGATAAATAGCTGTAAATATCCAGTAATAATCAGAACATGGAACATACAAAGTATGAATCTAGGAAAATTGAAAGTTTTCAAAAATAAAATAGAAGACATAAAGATAGATATCTTAGACATTAGTGAGCTAAAATGGGCTGTTATTGGCCATTTTGAATCTGACAATCACACAGCTTACTATGCCAGGAATGACAAATTGAAGAGGAATGGTGTTGTATTCACCATCAAAAAGAACACTTCAAGAACTATCTTAAAGTACAACACTGTCTGCTGATTGGGTAATATCTATATGCCTACAAAGAAGACCAGTTAAAACGACTATTATTCAAAATTATGCACCAACCACTAAAGCCAGTGATGATGAAATTAGAGAGTTCTACCAACTTATATCTGGCAGGGTAGTGGTTACGAATCGGGTTGCTAACCTCAAGGTTGGCAGTTCGAAACTACCAGCTGTTCCACGGGAGAAAAATAAGGCTTTATGCTCCCTTAAAGATTTGCAGCCTTGGAAACTCTGTGCAGGGTCACTATGAGTCGGAACAGACTCCATGGTACTTAACAACAACAATAAAACCACTTATTCAGTCTGAAATTGATCAAATATGCAATCAAGACGTATTGATAATTACTGACAATTGTAATGCAAAGGGTGGAAACTAAGAGGTAAGATTATAGTTAGAAAATATGCCCTTGGTGATAGAAACAACACTAGAAATCACCTGATAAGAGTTTTGCAAGACCAATGACTCCGTCATTGAAAATTCATTTTAAAACAACTTAAAAGACAACTGTATATGTGTACCTTACCAGATGGAAGACACAGAAACCAAATTGACTGTATCTGTGAAATGAGACAGTGGAAAAGCACCATATCATCAGTCAAAACAAGACTGGCCCAGACTGTGGAACAGACCATCAATTGCTGATCTGCAAGTTCAGGCTGAAGCACAAGAAAATGAAAACAAATCCACAAAGGCAAAAATATGGCCTTCAACATATCCCACCTGAGTTTAGAGATGATCTAAAGAATAGATTTGATGAGTTAGACACTAATGACAGGATACCAGAAAAGTTGAGGGATAACATCAAAAACATCATACAGGAAGGAAGCAAAGATCTTTAAAAAGACAACAAAGAAGGAAAACACCAAAATGGATGTCAGAAGAGACTCAGAAACTTGTTCTCCAGTGTAGAGATGCTAAAGCAAATGGAAGAAATAAAGAGATAAAAGACTTATTAGAAAATTTCAAAGGTCAGCTCAAGAAGACATTCAATATTATAATGAAATGTCCAAAGACCTGAAATTAGAAAATCAAAAGGGAAGAACATGCTAGCATTTCTCAAACTGAGGGAACTGAAGTAAAAATTCAAGCCTCGTCTTGCAACGTTGAAGGATTCTATGGGCAAAATATTAATGATGCAGAAAGCATCAAAAGAAGATGGAAGGAATACACAGAATCACTCTACCAAAAAAATGATTCTAGGACACTGAGACAAAATTGGTAGAGATAAATATGGATTATATTAGCTATTATAACATGAGACCAATTCATGTGTGATAATGACATTGTGGAATCCTGGTGTGAAACTGTAGGATAAGCACTCGACCTCGAAGTCAGTGGATCAAACCAACCAGTCACTATGAGTTGGAACCTACTTGATGGCACTTAACAACAATTATATTATGGTTGTGGAGGCAAATACCATTCTTCAGTATGTATTTAATGGTGGCATGTTATTTATGAGGTCTCCAACTACTTTCAACAGTAGCATCAAAAACAAAAACACAGAAAGCAAATTTAGCAACATATTAATAATTGGTGATTCTAAGTGAAAGATATGAGTATTAATTATACTAATCTTTCTCCTACCTCTTTACTAAATAGAGTTGTTGTTGTTAAGTGTCATCAAGTCGATTAGGACTGAGAGCAATCTTGATAGAGTTTCTAACTAAAAAGTGGCTAGTGAACTTGAACTGCCAATAATCTTGCTGTTCAAACCAACCTTGTGGTCCAGCACATTAACCCACAGTGCCTTACAAGGACTCCACTAAGTAGAGTAGAAAAGGGAAAAACAGCAGTGGCTATAAAACCTAGTGTAATATACAGCAAAACAAAAACAGGCATTTGGCATAAAAACTGGGAGTCAAGAAATTAACTCTCAGGATTGTTCTCAAGTTACAGTGACACCTGTGAGGTTGGCACAAGACTGGGCAGTATTTCATTCTGTTGAGCATAAGGTTGCTATGAGTTGGTGATGACTCAACGGCACTTATCAAGAACAACACCACGAGCAGGCACAGACTTGACGGCACTTAATAACAACAACACCCCACAGTACTGGTATGGTGCTGCAAGACAAGCACTCAACCGCAAGGTTAGTTTGAATGGCAAGGTTGGCAGTTCAAATTCACTAGCCCCTCCTTGGGAGCCCTATACAGTTGGAACTGACTTGATGGCACTAAACAACAACCCCACTGTCACTCTTCTCAAACTTAAGGACTAACGCGATTTCCTTTTCATCTTCATTTTGTCCTATTTGTGAACATTTATATTTGCTAGACAGGGTAGTACAGTTTAACTTGTGGCAGACAGAATCTAAACTGTAATCTCTCCTGTAAACCAAATCACAAGTCAGCAAGCATCAAACTCTTCTTGACAGAATTGTTGTAAAGTGACATCATGTTGGTTCTGATTCATAGCCACCGTGTATTGGGTTTCCAAGGAGCAGCTGGTGAGTTTTAACTGCCAGCCTTGCCCTTCAAACAGACCTTGAGGTTGAATGCTTATCTATAGCCCCACACCAGGAAGAACCAAATTGCTGTTCTTTGAGGAACAAAGAACAATCCATTGTAGTCCAAAGTTACACAAAACTGAAACATCTCTTAATAAACTATCAGCTACTTTTTCTATAGATGAGGCTAGGGAAACTACTTCTATAGCTTTCAAAAGGATTCCACTCTAAGAGTGGTTTAGAGAAACATTTAAATATAATAATATCATACAATTTCACAAAGGTGATTGCCAATATAAGATACTAACACATTTCATTCTGCAAGTCTTTAAACAATTTCTTTTTAAGATCAAATATGCAAAACAAACTTACCGAAGGAATGATTTAATGTTTTCAGCTTTCATTTCAGATACCAGTTCCCACCGTATACTCTGATGATAGCCCTCCGAAGTGACTGTTTCTTGGAGAGGTTTATTGATAAACCAGCCTGGGAGAAATCAAACACACACACACTAAATAACTTTTGACTTTTATAAAAATCAGAAGCCAAAATACAGACCTTACCTAAAAAGAGATCATAGACTTCAGAGGAAAAAATAAAAGCTCATATTAAATACAGAAAAACCTTTAATTTTGAGGATAAAGTAATTTGAAGTTGGGTAAAGCAAATTAAAGGAATTTCTCAAGTACTATGTATCAAGGAACTCCCTGAATATATAGTAACACAGTTATCTGAAACACAGAAAACAAGCCTTATTTGTTTTAGTAAATGATAAAGAAAGGATAGACTTTGCAGCTTTGTCCATATAGTCTGAACGTTTGCGGGAAGAAAGTTTCACTCTTAATATTGTTTAGAAATGAAACCAATCTTTTCTTCCCAACCGACAGTGCGAGTTATGAACTATCTTTCACTCGTGCTCATGACTCTAGTCTACACTCAATGAGGAATGAACAAATTTGAATTCCAGTCACACTTTGATTATTGGAAAAGGATCCCTAGTGGCGCTGTAAGATAAGCACTGTACTGCTAAGTGCTCAAGGTGTGCAATTCAAATCCACCAGTCGCTCAGGAGGAGAAAGACAAGACTTTCTGCTCCCGTGAAGATTTAGTTTTAGAAACCAAATGTTATTGTTAAGTGCGGTCGCGTGGGTTTCAACTCACGGCGACCCTGTAAAGGGTTTCCAACACGGGGCTTGGTGGGTTTGAAGCAACCTTTAAGTTAGCAGTGCTTATCCTACAGCACCACACTAGGACTCCGGGATTACAGGTTGTTGTAAATCACAATCGACTGGATGGCAGTGGGTTTGCATTTGGCTGATTATTGTTGTTGCTGAGTGCCGTCAAAGCGGTTCCGATTCACAGCGACCCTGTATAGGATTTCTAAGGAGCGGCTGGTGAGCTTGAACTGCCAACCATGTGGTTCAAACCAACCTTGCGGTCTAGTGCTTTATCCCACAGTGCCACACCAGGACTCCCGGTTGATTATTAGAAGAGTCAAAATACATTTCCATTCGGTTTCTAGTTTTGCTGAAATTCCCGGAATTCGCCATAAAGTACTCAGATGGCTGAGACAAGCCCAGCTCACAGCCTAATCCCTTCATGCTTCTGTCAGGGTTTCCAGAGGAGCGGAGGACAGAAGTCCTAGGGTCCTGTGGAAGGGGGTTTTGAACACTTACCCATCAGAAATCCCACCAAGAAAGATGCCAGTGCTGCAGCCAAGCACACCCAGAGGTACAAACGGCCCCTGGACTTCGCCATAGCTTCTTTGGGACTGAATTTGGGGCACCCGCTGCAGTGGCGACCCTCGGAACTGCGAATGAATAAACAGAGCGCGCCAGGAGGTGCTGGGAGGAGAGCCCAGGTTTCCGCGCGTCTGACACCGCCCCTCGCCTGCGGCAAAGTCTGCCTCTACCCTCCAGATTTGTAGTAGAAACAATGAAAACGCCTATTGCCCCCCTGTGGATCCTTGAAGGGAGAGAGGAAGCCCCTCGGGGGAGGAGACACGGTCTTCCTGTTTGCCTGCAAATTCCATTCTGTTAACCCTGCAGTCACCCCTGCGAAGTCAGAGGCTGGTTTTACTGGAGCTGTTGAAAATGTCCCTAATGGTTCTCTGAAGAACTTTGCTTTATCCTTTTTGGCAAACCCTCACAGGAATTGCCAGCTGCGGGGTGTGTTTAAGTAATGACTTTAACCTTCCTTGTGGATCATACAGCTGCCAAATCCTCTATCCTTCTTTCTAGCTGGTTAAACTCAGCAAGTATTTCTGGCCCTGGCTACTCCAGTAGAACAACATCAAAGCTGATTTAATTTTTCTTTTTACCACTTATTTAACAAATGTCTTCAGTTCCTTCTCTGACTGGAGTTAATACCTACTTAACCAGGAAGTTGTAGGTTCAAATGAAATAAGATTAATCTTTTATAGAATCTTGCACCCCTGGGCTCAGCATAAGTCTCCAGGGAACACAGTGATCAATTGGCATAACAGAGTTCACAGGGACAATGCCATATATCCTGCTTTGATGACTATAGCAGGGAGCTTAAAAGCTCAAGAGCAGTCCTCTTATAAAACTATTGGCTCCCCTTGTTCAGAGGAAAGAAGAGTGATAAAATTGAAGACTCTTAGAAACAATTAGTACAATGAACTAATGAATGGACCACATGAATACCAGTCTTCATGACTCTGAGACCACAACTAGGTAGTATCTAGCTACCAGTACCAACTGCTTTGGAAGGAATCACATTAGAAGGTCCTGGGTAGAGTGGGAGAAAATGTGGGATAAAACCTCAAAACCTGAAAAAACAAAACACCAGGCTTATTGCTCATATGGAGACTGGTGAAACCCTGAGACTGTCGCTCCTGGTCCTGCTGCAGATCTGAAACTGAGCTCGCCCCTGAGGCTCAATTTTCAGCCAAGGAATAGATAGGCATACAGCAGGGAAACATTAGTTAAGTATGCTCACCATAGAAAGGTCTACCATTTGAGATCAGAAGGGCAGCATTAACCTAAGAGGGGTTGGGAAAGACCGAGGATGATAAACAAGAAATACAGGGAGGAGGTGGGATAAGTGATGTTACCTTCAGGGCGTTGCAATCATTGAGATGAACTAGGTGTATGATCATTGTTGTTGTTGTTAAGTGCCGTCGAGTCGGTTCCGACCCGTAGCGACCCTGTACAGGGTTTCCGAGGCTGTAAATATTTACGGGAGCAGGAAGCCTTATCATTCTCCCGAGAAGCGGCTGGTAGTTTCAACTGCTGAAACTTACTGTTCACAGCCTGGTTCGTAACCATAGTTGAATGTAAAACTGATGTGCTGATCTATAAACTTTCAATCAATTCACACAAAAATCTAAAAGAGACAAAAGCACCTTGCACCATCGACAGTTTCTCAGCAAATGCCATCCCGCCTGAGTTACCCTCCAATTAGCTTATAGAGTATATGCCTTTAAAATAGACACCCCAGGCACAAAGGAACTGTTGTTGTTGTTGTT